ATAAATCCTGTTGTTTTCTTTTTCAGGTTAACTGCTTGTGAAGATAAAGTGGAGTCTAGTGAAGCGTGAAGGCGATTTTGAATTCAGCATTTGAAATTTTGTGTTTAATAATAGGCCTGATAAAAACTGGTGCGTTCATATATTCATTAAAAAATATAAAGTATTGCAAAGTTCATTTTCTTTACATCAATAAATCACCCTGTCTGTCTGTCATTCTGTCAAGAATTGTTTAAATTGATGCAATATATGGGCTGTCCCTGTATCTGTCCATAACATGTCTGGAGTTATGAGAGAGGCTAATATCTTATCTTTTATGCATACATTTACTTGTCCATATATTTGACATATACATACAAATGTTTAAAATTTGTTCATTTAAATTTTTATGGCTTGTAACATATACCGGGTATACGTGTATACTACAATGAATGTCTCTGTTTCAACTATTTTTAAGTTTTTGACATCAGTCTAATTGTAGTTAGTAAACAAACTTGAGTTAAACAAGTGCTCGTGAAACTTAACATCCTAAATAATGTATTAAAAACATATTTCACACATGAATTGACTAAATTTTTTATTAAAGTTTTGACTTACATGTAGCGGCCATTCCACAAATTATAAGAATAGTAAAAATCAAGTCATCATAGAAACTTGTGACTTTATATGCAAGGAATTTAGGTTATTCCTCTACTAGACATATCCATACACTTACCTCTCTATTTTGACTCTTATCAGTAGTAAACTCCCTTACCGGAAGAACTGAATTTGTGTTTATACATCAGAACAGGGGTACTATTTATGAGCATTCACTATCAGATTTCTTTTTATACCCCCGCAAACAAAGTTTGGGAAACTATATAGGAATCATCTTGTCTGTCTGTCTAGCTTTCTCTCCGTCTGTGCAAATGTGCCCGGTTCATGTATATTTTATGGTGGAACATTAGAATTTACTACTTTACACAAAGATTGTTTATGAACAAAGGGTGTGTCATGTCCTTGACCAAAGGTTATTTGGGCAAGTTCAAGGTCACCATAATTTATGTCCTGTCCATATATTTCTTATTTATAAACTTGGTGAGTTCCATTTTTACACAAAGATTGCTTATAAACTGGGTGTGTGTTGTGACCTTGACACAAGGTCATTTGGGCAAATTAAAGGTCACTGGAAGAAAATTGAAATTCATGCCTGGTCCATATCTTTCTTATGGATAAATTTGGTGTGTTCCTGTTTTACACAAAGATTGCTTATGATCTGAAGGTGTTTCATGTCCTTGACCCAAGGTCGATTGGGCAAGTTCAAGGTCACTAAAAGAAAAAGTGCATAATTTGTGTCCATTGCATATTCCTAGTATTGATTTTTTAATGTCTGAGTGTGTTTCATGACGTTGACCCAAGGTCACTTGGGTAAAGTTCAAGGTCACTAATAGAAAAAGTGCATATTTATTGTAGTGATATTTTTATTAGCATATTTATTGTAGTGATTTTTTTATTAGCCTTTCATAAGATATGAAGAGCGATTATATTTTTACTCTAAATGTTTCAGCAAATTGTGAACAGTTCTCACATCTATAAAATATTTGTGATTTGGCACCTTTTCTAAAAACTAAGTAATAGGATATTTGTCCCTTTTGGCCAGTTCATGTTATTTTTTTACCAAACTTGACAAAGACTTCTGGGAGCAATTTTTAGAAGCTTGTAATTGGAGCAGACATTAAAATGACTGTACGGTCTGTCATTACCTTTAACATTTAGATTTAAGGGAACTGAAAATATTTATAGTATCAGTGCCTGGGATATAAGTAAGTGATACAAAATTGTTATGGATGGAATTTGACATGACCTTGTCTAAAGGTCATTACAGCAAGTTATAGGTTATTGCAAAAGACCATGAAAATATTGTTCGGGCTATAACTTTGTATATAGGAATAATTAGAGGCTCATACTTGGTACAAAACTGACCATAATTTTGACTGTTACTCATTATGACACATTCAATGCAGAAAATGTAAAGAATCTTGCCGAGACCTGAACTCATACTCTGTAGAAAGATTCTTGATGACCAAAATTTAAATTTAAATGGGCATTTTAAAGATGAAATGCAATAATGATATTATTAATGGTCAAAATAACTTAAAGAGTTAACATAGTAATTTAGATAAATTATTTTGCTCAGTATTTAACAACTCTTTGCTTTACTTATGCAAAGTTAAGGCAACATTGGTACTCTAAGAAGAAAAATACCCAGATTAATACTAGTATTATTGAGATATGATAAATAATGATTTTATTTATCATTTCATTTTAGTTGAGCTTAAAATATATATAATAAAGTAGGAACTACAAACAATATGTTTGAAATATCAAGGTAAATGTCAGTATGTTTAACACAAAGAAAAGGTGCTTCAACAATCATATTTTATTCTCTTTAACTTTTGATTTTTGAAACAAAATTATAATTTTTAATTGTTTTTTCATATTTTTTAGAAAATGCCACGTAAAGCCAAGAAATCAGCTGAAAGAAAGGCATCAGAGCAGAGACTCAGGATGCAGCAGAGACGAAATCAGGCCACTGGACAGAGCGTCATCTCTTTAAACTGTCCTGAAGAGAGCGTCACCTCTATAAAATGTCCTAAAGAGAGCGTCACCTCTATAAAATGTCCTGAAGAGAGCGTCACCTCTATAAAATGTCCTGAAGAGAGCGTCACCTCTATAAAATGTCCTGAAGAGAGCAACACCTCTTTAAACTGTCCTGAAGAGAGCAACATCTCTATAAAATGTCCTGAGAGCGTCACCTCTATAAAATGTCCAAATCAAATAGAGAATAAAACAAATAGAAATGAAACAAATATGCTGAAGAGAAACAAACAAGAAATAGAAAACAAAAACAAAACTGCAAGATCTCCACCATCTAAGATGCGCAAGGTTGATAGAAAAGAAAGCCAATTCAACTCAGGAAAAGAAATTAAACTGGCAGTAGTTCAAGGTACTTTTCACCAAGGAGATTCCAGGTTTGGAAGAAATAGTGGAAAGCAATGCGTTGCTAATAGTTTGTCAGCAATTGCTCACAGCAAATTGAAAGATGTAGATAAGTGGGATCAGGCATATCTGGACAATGTCTTAATTGAGGGAAATGAGATCTATACTTGGATTCATGGAACAAATGACTTGTTGTTGATGTCAGACTTACCAGAAATGATTGAAATATCAGGTAAAATGATGCAGATTAGAAAAAAAGACTCGATCTCAGCAACAATTGATAGTAATGGGACCATTGATTTCAGTGCATTTGGTAATTGTCTACCACTAGATTTGGCAATACAAGAATCACTCATGAACTCTGATGGTTGTTTCATATGTGCCATTAATCAAACTTTTATGGTGATCAAGTACAAACATGATCTCTATTTGTTTGATTCACACTCAAGAAATTCATTTGGTTTAGTTGATGGGAATGGAAAAAGTTTACTAATGCAATTAGAGAACTTGGATCATTTATATGATTATTGCTGTAATTTAGTGCATGGAGTAGATCAGACTAATCAGTGGTTTGAAGTCACTGGTATTAGAATAACAACCGAGGAAATTTTGTCAACTGAGAATGTTTTGCACAGTTTCAATGCAATGGAGGATGGCTTGATGCAAAATAATGTTAATTATCCATCTGGACAAGAGTCAGAGAATGCACCTATGCCAGGAAGAGAGTCTAATCTTCCTAGGAGTGATAGTAATTTCTCAAAACACGAATCATTACCCACTGAAGATGTCTCAGAAAGTGAAGATATGATCCATAACCATTTGAGTATTCCGGAATGTGAATTAAAAATTCAAGATGACACAAGTAGTTCACTACTGCAGTGTTCTTCAGACATAGAAATTGTATCAGAAAATGAAGACCGCACGAGTTACAATTTCATACCTCTTACAATTGCAACCAAAAGAGAATTATGCAATGTGCTGCACATTTCTTCTAAACAAGTATGTAAGAAACAGTCTGACGTTGTTTACAATATGGGACCTCCAAAAGAAACAAAATCGATAGAGGAAGATGGTAATTGTCTGTTCAGAGCAATCTCATATGCAGTATCAAATAGACAACAGTATTATCACAAGGTTAGAGGGGCTGTTGTTAACCACATTAAGAAGACAGATGCTTTGAAATCATTTTTAAGACCGGAGTTTCAGTCCGTTGAGCAGTATATCCAAATGTCCAAAATGGAGAATGACAAAACATGGGGAACAGAGCTTGAAATTTTAGCTGCTGCAGATCTCCTAAAGACAGATATATTTACCTTTCTAAATGGATCTTGGATCAAATATTCATCTTCTCAGATATGTTCAAACAATAAAGTTAAAGGTGAATCGATTTACCTAAAACATACAGGGAATTCCAATCATTATGAATGTGTGACATTTGTAAATGATAAAGATCTTTCACAAGCAACAAGGAACATGCAAACTAAGAACTCGAAAATAGGGGGAAGAAAACGTAATGCTAAAAGAGTAAAGCAAATGAATGCTCCTGTAACAAAGGTATTAAAAACGGACAGTATGGACTGTAACCAAGAAACTTTCAGAGATTCATCAAAGGCTGTTAAAGAAAAAGAAAAGTACAAAACAAGCAAGGAATTTAGGGAAAAGAAGAAAAATACTTCAAAACAAAAATATGAAACAGATCCAAAACATAGAGCAACTATTATAAAACGCATGAAAAACCATTATAAAAATGATGATGAATACAGGGAAACGATAAAGAATGCTAACAAAATAAAGTATGAAACCAACTATGAATTCAGAGAAAAAGTTAAGGCGGCAAGCAAAGAGAAGTATGAGACAGATGACGATTTCAGAGAAAAAAAGAAGAATGCAAGCAAAGAAAAGTTTGAAACTGATGCAGATTTCAGAGAAAAAATGAATAATGCATGCAAAGAGAAATATGAAAAAGACGACGATTTCAGAGAAAAAAAGAAGAATGCAAGCAAAGAGAAGTATGAAAAAGACGACGATTTCAGAGAAAAAAAGAAGAATGCAAGCAAAGAGAAGTATGAAAAAGACGACGATTTCAGAGAGTATGTCAAAAATTTCAGCATGAATAAGTATGAAAAGGATATCAATTTTAGAAATACAGTCAAAGAAACAAGCAAACGTAAATATGACCAAATCGAAGCACACAGAGAAAAAATTAAATGTCAAGTGAAATTTAGACGGGACGTACTGAAAAAAGAATGTGAAAATATCGAAAATGTCATTGAGAAATTCAAAGCAGACGTTAAAAGTGGACCAGAATATGTTTGCTCATGTTGCTTCAGATTGTTATTTGAAAATCAGGTACTCTTTTGCAATAAAGAGAAATACAACAGCATGTTACTTGAAACGTGTATTTCTGAAAAATATCTGCACAAATGTGACACAGACTGTGCTTCAGGGTGTTCATTTGCAGGAACAAGTAGGACAAACCTCTGGATTTGTTATACATGCCACAGAAAGTTATTAAAAGGAGATGTACCCTGTATGTCATTTGCAAACAACACTGAGTTAGAAAAAGTACCAGAAGTGCTTGAATGTCTCAATTCGTTAGAACAACATCTGATATCACTGAATATACCTTTCATGAAAATACTTGGTTTGCCAAAAGGAGGACAGAAAGGTGTTCATGGTCCTGTTGTTTGTGTACCGTCTGATCTGAGAAAAGTAACCTCTATTTTGCCGAGATCAGAGGACGAAAATCTGTTGCTGAAAGTTAAACTGAAAAGAAAGTTGAAGTACAAGGGATATGAAGAATATCAGTTTGTAAATTCCAAACATTTAGAGGAAGCATTATTGTTTTTAAAAGAAAACAATTTCTGGTACTCTGATGTTAAAGTAAATGAAAATTGGCTTAATCCAATTCCTGAAGAAAAAGAATTGGATGATATTGTTGATTGTGATGATGAAACTGCAAATGCAGAAATTACGTCAAGCAGATGTGATAATGCTTCAGAGAACAGTGAAGATATCACAGTAAAATGTACAGAAAATGAAGCTGAATCATTCCTAGACGAAAACTTGCGAGGAATTCAGTTAGATACTTGTTTACAACCAGCTGACATTGGACAAGAAGTATTGGATTTATGCTTTGACAAAGTGTTTGAAATTTCACCGGCAGAGGGGAACAACCCAGTTTCAGTTCTAAAAGAGGAAGGCATTGAAGCAAAAACATTCCCTGTTCATTTTCCGAGTGGGAAAAACACTTATTCAGAAGAACGAAATGAAAAGTTAACACTTGGAAGATACTTTAATCTTCGACTGATGAGTGTTGAGAATAGATTTGCTAGAGATACATCCTATTTATTCTTTAGTCAGTATTTATCAGAATTAGAAAGAGTTATTTCAAATGTTCAAATATCATTGAGGAAAGAATCAGCGTTTTCTGCAGATGGATCCAAAATTACCGGAGAAATGCTCTGTGACAAGAATGTTTTAAAGAACCTCTTTAAAAAAGACGAAGCAATCAAATTTTTAAAACCAGTCCGCGGAACACCACCGTATTGGCAAGCTGCACAAAAAGATATCTTTGCAATGATACGTCAGTTGGGTATACCGCAGTTTTTTTGTTCCTTTTCATCTGCAGATTTTAGATGGACAGAAATTGTAGAAACTATTCTTAAACAGCAGGGAGATACACGAAAGTTAGAAAACCTCACATGGAATGATAAATGCAAAATTCTGCGTAGTAACCCAGTTACTGCAGCTAGAATGTTTGACCACAGATTTCACACATTTCTTAATAATGTTATCATGTCAGACGCTGAACCAATTGGAAAAGTCATTGATTATTTCTATAGAATTGAATTCCAACAAAGAGGCTCTCCACATACACATTGTTTATTTTGGATAGAAGGTGCTCCGAAATTTGGAGAAAACTCTGATTCTGAGGTTGTGGAGTTTATCGATAGATATGTAACATGTGAAGTACCAGATGAACAAGAGGATCAAGAGCTACACGACATTGTGATGTCTGTACAGCAACACAGTAAAAACCATTCCAAGTCATGCAAAAAGAAGGGAACAGTTTGTAGATTTAATTTTCCCAGACCACCTTCCCAGAGAACATTCATTTCAAAGCCTCATGAAACTAGTTCTACCGACAGAAATGAAGATCAACTGGCCAAAGAAAGACTATCATTTATGTGGGACACTTTAAAGTCCAATGAAAATGTTACCACTTCAAACCTACTTCAGAAATCCGGACTGACGCAGGAAGAGTTTGAATTATGCTTTAGCTTCATTACAAAGAGAAATACTATTGTTTTGAAAAGAGAACCCATTGAAGTGTATACAAATCAATACAACAAACATCTTTTGAGAGCATGGAATGCAAATATGGACATCCAGTACATTTTAGACGCATTTTCTTGTGTTGTTTACATCATAAGTTATATAAGTAAAGCTGAACGAGAACTAGGATTACTACTGCAACACACAAAGAATGAAGCTATTGAAGGAAATCTACACGCGCAGGAGGCAATGAAGAAAGTTGGTACTGCTTACATGCACCATAGGGAGATAAGTGCTCAAGAGGCTGTTTATAGAGTGACTGGATTAAGGTTGAGAGAATGTTCAAGAAAGGTAGAATTTGTACCAGTTGGAGAAAATCCTTGTAGAATGAGCATTCCTTTGAAAGATGTCAGAAGAAAGACTGACTCTAAAATAAAAAAGCCGAAAGATTCTAATGAAAAACCAGATGATGCAAAAGATGAATCTGATATATGGCTGACAAATATTGTGGACAGATATGAAGGAAGACCAAACATTGACATGTTTCAGAAAATGTGCCTTGCATCATTTTGTTCAGAATTTGCTGTTTTAGCCGAATCACAATTGCCAAAGAAAATAAATGAAGAAACAACATTCAAACTTTCAAACAAGTTGGGTTACATTAGAAAAAGGACCAAAACAAAACCAGCAGTTATCAGATTTCCAAGATTTTCAGTAGAGGCTGCTAGTGAAAAATACTATCAAAGTATCTTACAACTGTTTCTGCCATACAGAGATAAATGTCAACTCAAGCCCGCAAAGTTTGAAACATATGAGACTTTCTATGAAACAGGATATGTCAAGTATTCTGGAGAGAAAACGTTACTGTCAGTGAAACACATTGTGGATTGCAATATGTCAGAATTTGTTAAAGATGGGGAAAATTTAGAAGAAGCAGAAAGAATTTTAGATGCACAGGGTCCTCAAGAGGACGCATGGTGTGAACTGTGTCCAGAAACAGAAAAGATTAGACTGGAATGCATGGAGGACAGACAAACTGTAAATGTAGAAGATGAAGACATTTCTGAGAAATCAGTGCCCGATTTAAGTACAGACAATCGAGAAGGTACAGGAACAAATCTACTGTGTTTGTCTTTGCCAGAGAAAAATGAAGTCACACCTCTTCTGCAATCACTAAACTCAAAGCAACAAGAAGTGTTTTACAAAGTTAGAGACTGGTGCCTTAAGAAAAAGAATGGCCAAAATCCAGATCCATTTCATTTGTTTGTAACTGGTGGAGCTGGCACAGGAAAA